ATGTAACACGAATTCATACAATTAATTAAATCATTCGGAATAAATATAAATAGTATACAAATAAATAATTAATGAAATATAATAATTAAAGAAATAATAAATGCTAAAAATAAATAACAGATAAATAAAATATCAAATAAATAATAAAAATAAGATTAATAATATAAATAAGATAATGACGGGTTTACTACGGATTTTCGGGGTTATCGAACAGCGAATTAAGGTCCAATTCATGTTCCGGTGACAATATCATCAAGAATAAGGGTTCATTTGTATAGTTCTTTTATTTTTTCCCTTCTTTTGAGATCTGGTTACTTTACAGATAAGTTGTATCCAAACTGTGTGGATGCATTATATAAGGATCTTCACAGAATCACACTATCATCTAACACAACTCTCACATTTTGACCATAGGAGAGACATCATATCTGGGTAACTAACTATACCAAATATTGATGTAAACTTACCAGTTCTTCTAAATACTTGCCACTATCCCTGCTTTGAGATGCTCTTTTTTAACACACTTTTTTTTTACAATCAGCAGTCCACCCATCAATTTCTACTTGTTTATATAAAGCAGTAGTGTGTCAAGTTCCTGTGTTAATAGAAATGCTTCCATTTCTAAGTTTGACTATGAAAATTGGTAGTTTTTAGAAAATGAGAATAAAAACAGTTAACATTTATTTCAAATATACTGCCCTTTTAAACATTTTCTTTCCATGTTTTGCTCTATATCTAAAGGTGAATAATATATTTACACCAAGAATTCCTCTTGATTGGTAATTAAGGCCCAGTAGACCATTCCTAAAAATGAATATCAAATTGGGTCTGTGCATAATTTATATATTTGCACCACATATTAATATATTTCGGAAGCAGAATTCCTTTATGAGTTGGATTTGTTTGAGATATTTGTGTCCATCTGTAGGTGTAAACGACCAATATATTTATTAAAAAGGAGCACCATGGAAAGAAAATGTCAACACACTAATATTAATCCTTGATTTGACAAATGTAAGAATATATGATTTGCTTTTAATAATTTATGTGGTTTAATTGGTTAACAATGCTTTTCTGATTATGCTGATCCTAATTATTTGTGAATTTTATTTGATAGGTAGAAGCATAGAATCTTGACACATCTCATAGGCCCTGAATCAATGTAAAAAATAAGCTTAATCATTTTTATACAACAATACATACCTCTGATTTATTCATAAAAACAGGAGGAGGTCTGACAATCATATAAAAGCACACAACATTAGGTTAGATTGTTTTGCGTTCGTGTAACATTACCAGTTGAAATTCTTTTGGATAGCTTGATCCAGGATATGAGAATGACCCTGCGATTTATTCAGTCATCACCTTATCAAATTCTGATCTAAAATTAGTTTTGGAATCCATTCCATCTCAGCCTGTTTCTTCTTCCACTCTACCTCATTAAGATATTAGTAATTGGAATGTTATGATACATGACACTGATAAACTATTTAATTGACAATCCTTTATGATCGGCAATTTTTTTTGAAAATTTAATAATAAATTTGTGGATAAGCTAAATATAATTTTTAAAGAAAATTTTTCATCTCGCGTGCTTAAAAAATAAACTCTATTTAAAATGTCAAAGCTTTATTAGAAATTATGTTTCATACAGGAACTTTAAATCCAAACCATAAAATGAGTGCTGAAAATATGCATGAAGAACTTTTAGAATGTGTACAACAGTGTATAAATTTCGTCGTGTAACAATATATCCAAATTTAGATGCGCACATTTTTGAAGGACATAATAATAATTATTTTATTTATAAAAAGTATATTTTAAAATACAATAAATTTAATATAGTTTTTTAAAATCTATATCCTTCTTGTTTTCTTACTTCTCCAATACTCATATGCCTTTTCAAAATCAAAATCTTCTAT